TAGTATAGAATAGTACAATATTCATCTGTTATATGTAGTATATTTGTCAGTGGCAACTACTATATCTCTGCCATATTCTTTTGCCTCTTCTATTTCTCTTGCAGTTTTTTTGGGTTAGTATTACACTGTAATAAATACAGTGTGTTACATACTGGTAAGTCATTCAATAATTAAAATGTTTTACCATTTTCAACATAGTATGTTTATTTTTTTCAGCCGCTAGGCCTACTCAGAGAAGCTATCCTGACCTCTCCAGTTACAACATGAATGAACGTGAGTACATATATGCTGAACCAAACTAGTCTTAGTGTTTCTCTACAGGTTGAGGTTTACTGTACAGTATTCTCTACAGTACTACCAAGGGTATCTGAAACATAGGTAGATCTAAGATTATTACAGATGCCCACGAGACAGCAAACTAGCTAATGGTCACATTTTCTCAATCATTTTTGGTCATTGAATTCATATTCTTTTGCTGAAATAACCCCTCAACTTGTATGTATTTCTCTATGGCTGTTTCTAGCGGGTTCAAGATCTACTTTGAAGTATTGAAATATGTGATTTGTTTGTGTCCCCTCCACACAAAATACATTTAGGAGTAACTCCAAGCAATAGGGGAAATTATTATGTCAACTCCTTCTGCAGGGCTATTGGACAGGTCTGCAGCCTCTTGCCTGTACGTTTGTGAAGTGTATCTGCCTTGTCTGTAGAATAGGTAGGGTTTGTCATTTCTAGAAAAAATGGTACATGCATGTATCTATAACCAGCCTTTATAGCAGGGCGCACATTGGGAAGGCTTACAACAATACAAAACAAAAAAATTCCCCAGCCTCAACCTGCCAGCCAGCCTGCAACCAAACAAGTAGCCCTGTCAACAGTATGCGTTAAAATCAGAGTAAACCTCTGATTTTAACGCATACTGTTGACAGGGCTACTTGTTTGGTTGCAGGCTGGCTGGCAGGTTGAGGCTGGGGAATTTTTGTGTTTTGTATTGTTGTAAGCCTTCCCAATGTGCGCCCTGCTATAAAGGCTGGTTATAGATACATGCATGTACCATTTTTTCTAGTTTGACTATTTTTGGTTTGGGGGATGCACTGGAGTCCCAGCGTGCATTTTTGGTTGCTGGGCCTCCAGTGCGTCCCTGCACCTTATTAGGAGGAGTTGGCTACCTCCAGGTACACCTGCATGTAATTTATCAACTTCATTAATATGCTCACACTTAGAGACTCGGATACATAGAGTTAGGACCACACTTTGCAGAGGTGCCTTGGCGCGGCAGTGTGGCTTCTACATATTTTTGGCCAAAAGATTGTGCAACTTAAACCTCTGATTTTAACGCATACTGTTGACAGGGCTACTTGTTTGGTTGCAGGCTGGCTGGCAGGTTGAGGCTGGGGAATTTTTGTGTTTTGTAGGGTTTGTCATTTCTTTCTAAAAAAATGAGAGGTCTGTATAACTATACTGCAAAAAAACCCTTTATGGGCTAAGTTGGGAATCTCCAACCGGAAGAATCGCAGGTCAAGAAGTTTGGCATTTCCAGAGTAGACGGTGACCCAGCAGTTGCAGGGATGACTTAGTCTACTCGAGGATTAAAAACAAGAGTTGCTTGTTAAAGTGAATTTACAAGTCTGCATTAATAAATTCCTGACATGTCACGGTACACAGGATGAAAACAGGACTTTTTACTAGCAAAATTTACGAGCTTCATTAAAGTGACACTTTCTCATGGTCAGCCTGAAAAAGCAAGTCGAAAGTTGGTTCTGCTGCAAGCCAGAGGAACCATTTCTTCAATGGTTGCTCCTCCTGTGTTCTCTCACTTACATTGTACACGGTCATTTTCTGTCAAGTCACAGAAATAAAAATGCTACAGGGGGCTGCACTGTGTGTGACACGATTACACACAGAACATAAAGTCTACTTCTTGGTTTTACATGATCCATAAATCCCTAGGACATCCTAAAAGATGATGCCATCCTTTTGGGGAGACAGAAGATGAAGGTAAAGTCAGAGGGAGTTCTTTGATCTCCTTGAGCGGTAATAAATACCTGTAAGTATTATGCTTATAGATTTCCTAGCAAGCATGCACCTAACGTACATGAAAAAAATAAATCTAACACTAGGTCATCTTTAAGCAGGGACATAGATAAATAGATTCCTGTTCACCCAGTTCTAGAAAGTTCTGTAATAGCAGCCACACAAACTAAATTCAACAGGAATAGCCATGCTGTCTTAATTAGTGCCACTTGTGAGGCCTAACAAATACAGGAAGTATTTAATGGGCAGTAAACTTAAAACACAAGTGAATGGAGGAGCTAATAATAAACTTTTATAGCTATTCCATTAAATGTTTACATATCCTGAAGTATATTGCATGCTATTAACATATGCCATGCTGCCGACTAATGTCTGTTGTGATATATTACTGGGAAAGGGGAAATTCCTGTTTTATAAGACAGGAAGTAACCTGCGTCTAAGAAAATGCCTCACATTGTGACTCCAGCATGTTTTTTTTTTTTTTAATTTATTATCTCCAATATTTAAATGTTTTTGTAAATGTTTGGAATTATTCGAGATAGTACCTTTCTATAAACCCTTTTTTGATGTTGGTATACATCATAGGTACAGGTATACTGTAAATCATTGTAAAAAATACTTTAGCATGATGCTTGTGTTTATTTTGTTACAAGCTTGGTACTGGAATTTTTTTTATTGCTATTGACAAAAATGAAACCTTTCCAATCTACTATAACAAAAAGGGCAACAAACGCATGTCTAAAGGATGCCACACCACGCCAGAATGTTAAGCTGGCCATACTCTGAATTTCAGCGGTCTGCTGCTAAGCCACTGTGTGGGTTAGCACGTCTTCCTTGGAGCAATGGGGGTCCCTGGTTCAAATCCTGGTCAGGACACTATCTGCATGGAGTTTACATGTTCTCCTTGTGCTTGCATGGGTTTCCTCCGGGTACTCCAGTTTCCGCCCACACTCCAAAGACATGCTGGAAGGTTAATTGGCTCCTGTTTAAATTGGCCGTGTTTGCATCTGAAATAGAGACTGATGTGAATGTGCAGTATGTAAAGCACTGCATACATTTTTGGCACTATCTAAATAGCTGTAATATATACAATATATAATATAAATACCTGGCTTGACAAAAGCTGATTTTTCAGTCAACCTCTGTTGAAGGAGCAGGTTGGAAAATTATCGGCCGGTCGAACAGCGACTGCAGCCAGTCAGCTTCATTCACTGTTTGAGCGTACACTTCTAAAGTGGTGCGGCTATTTACAATGGGTTGGAGCAAAGGATGGAAGCATGGATTTCGCATCAGTGCAACTCTAGCAATGTCCCTTGATATTTCATAGTTACTTGGGTTGGAAAATACATATATCTATCACATTAAACCTTAACAAAATGCATCCTGAAACCCAAGCTGGTTCAGATGAAGGAAAAAATACCTTTATGACTCCTGTTGGCAGCCTGATAAATGCTTTTCCCAGCTGAACATTAATCTTCTTTTCAACTACAAGGGGTGTCCTGCTGTGACTTTAAAGTAAATAGCTTTCCACTGACTTTTCTATATGTATGCTGTATATTTACTTTTTATAAGGCGATAATTTGTTGTTTTTTTTTCTTCTCCACATCAAGGGTGAACAGATTCAGTTAATGTAATAGTTCCTAGTAATTCAAACCTTCTGTGCCCCTTGATAATGTATTTGTCTATCACTGCATACTTCCCAGTGTTGGGGCATCTTTTTTTTTTTTGAGCTTCTTAAAACTAAACTGAAAATTTAAGAAGGTGGTATACTAATGCTTTATAAATTTAAGACCAAAGTTTAGATGCAATTAAAGTCTGTCTTGGCTCTCTGGTTCTTTAAACCCTCATTCACACGAGTAACAGCCGGCCCGTACAGATCCGTGCTGCTTGCACGGCCGTATCGCACTGCTCCCGGGAAGGACAGGTGCTGTGTGTGATTACACGCAGCAGCCTGTTCTCTATGGGAGTACGCGGCCGTATGCCGCCCTACGCTCACCCGAACTGCCCGTCAGTACGGGTGCGGATGCTCGGGTGCAGAAAGGATCCATCCTGTCGGCGTACGAGTACGGACACCCGCACGGACGTGCAGGGCGGGTGAGCGTAGGGCCGCGTACACCCGCATACTCCCATAGAGAACAGACTGCTGCGTGTAATCACACGCAGCACCTGTCCTTCCCGGGAGCGGCCTGATACGGCCGTGCACGCAGCACAGATCAGTACGGGCCGGTTGTTACTCGTGTGAATGAGGGCTAAATGTAAGAAACTATTTTGTTAGCATTTGGAGCTGCAGACTGACATTGCATGTTGTCATTTGAAGTATTATGCCACCAAAGTGTATAAACTAACAATAGGGGTAAAATACAGCTATGCAAGCATTTGCCAGGCCTTGTTCTAAAACCATTGTCGGTGAGCATCTGCAGTCCCTGCAGATCAGTGGCGGTAGACCGCACAGACAAGGTTCGCAGGAAGAATAATTCAGCCACAGGTTATTAACAGTGTAGCAGGCTGTGGCTCTGCTTTTAACCCTTTCGATGCTGGGGGGCGCCCGGTATTTTTGAAAATAGCGGTCATCAGCGGCTTGTGAGCCGCTGATGACAGCTATTAATTTAAAGGGGACAGTCTGCTGAACAGTTCTACTATAAGCTGATGGTCGCTAAAGCGACCATCAGCTTATGGTAGAACTGTAAATGCCAGGTCCGTACGGCATACTGAGCTGACCAGCTGGAAGCACTTTTGTAGCTCCGTATGCCGTACGTCCTTGGCAGCGAAAGGGTTAAGGCTACGTTTGCCTTTGGACCATGTTTCCACAAGGTTACTTTAAGTTATAGTGTCTACAGAATGCCCAGCCTTCGATAAGGACTCTGCAGGTCACAGCACTCATGCTTTCTCCCTTGATAACAACAGGCTACTAAATCATAGTAACGTAAGATTAGGAAAGACAATGGACTTCAAACAGGCAAAGAGTAGGTTAAGCAGTGTTCAGGCAGATATAAGACGTTCTGACACAGGCAGAAGGCTGAGATAGATGGTATTCAAGCAAAGTCATAACACAAGCAGCTGGTTAAGATGAGTATCAAAAAGGCAAACACCAAAAAAACAGGGAACCAGGACAAAGGTCAGGAGGAACAATGTGCCAGGAAAACTATGGGACAGTTTAATAAGTCAAAATGCAAAACTCAGGGAGAGAAAGCTGAAGCCCAAAAATTAGCTATACAGGGTATAGAGGCTGGATTGCAGAG